CTCCTGGACGGCTGGGAGGACGAGAGCCGTGGCTGGACCGAACTGACTCGTGTCTGTGGCGCCCGGCGTCCGGCGCGCGGTGGTCACGGTACCGTGTTGCGAGTGGTGCGAGCGTCAGCTAGGCCGCGGCGTACCGCACCGGACGTTGGACGGGTACGGCGCCGCTGGCAGATGGCGCTTCCTGCGCCGGCCCGGACAGCGTGTGCCCGTGTGGAGCGCGATCAACGGTCGTGGTCAGTGCCGTGGCCGCGACGCACATGTATGGCGCCCAACCCGCTGTACCAGTCTGACTGCGCGCGCGCGCGTGTTAAGAGCGCGGCGGCGTCGCGCCGCGTGTGGTGCGCTCCGCGCGGCCGGACCGGGAAACTGCGCCGCAGACGCCGGCCGCGCGCGGCGCCGTGACGGCCGCCGTCTTCGGGGGAGTGCGAGTGGCGGCTGGCGCTCCGACGTGAAGGTGCCAACTGGTGGACGCGTCTGTAGCACTGCGGGGTGCGCGCCCTGCCACTGACGACGAGACTGGCGACGGCACCCGACGGCCGCTGCCGAGGACGCAGGCCCGCCATTGGGACGGGGCTGTGTCCGGGCGTCCTCACAGAAGTCTAGGTCTGACGAGTGCGGTGCGACGTGCCAGCGGTGTCAAGTCTGGGTGGCTCCTCTCATCGTGTGAGTGTGTTCTAGAATGGCCGTCCTGTTATGCGTTTAGAACCTGCTGCAGCTGTCCTTCGTACGAGCTGAAGGTGTGCGAGTCCAGGCATCAAGATAGTCCTGTATGAGTCCTGGCGGAGATGGAATGGTCGTTCCCGTGCAAGTCACTTCCCTACCAATCATCAAACTCTGTCGGAGCCTGGGGTACCATGCAGACCACGTTGCGTCCTGCCCCCCCCCCCCCTCGCCACACGTCTTTCATCCTTCACCCCTTGGATTTGGCATCACGGCGTGGTGTGTCTTGGAAAGATGAACATTAAAATGCAAGCGCCCCGTTCCCGGTTATCACTCGTGTCCCTCATTCGTCAGTCGGTGGCACCGTTCCTTGTGTGTAGAGTGGCCGGTCTCCGTGGAAGTCTCTGCGCCTTTGATAACCGCCTCTTGTACGAGACGAGATGTGTGGAGGGTCTCGCTCTGGGAGCCCCTTCGTCGGGCTGGTCGTTCCCAGTGTTTGTCGCCGGTCCGGCGCAGTCCCTGCCTGCGCGAGTCCTGTCGTGTGATGGCGGGTTTCGAGCGGCGCCTCACTGCGCGGCCGCTGCGCTGGAGCGTGTTGTGGAGGGGATCCCCAGGACCCTGCGCTGACCGTACGGCAGGGGGGGGGGGGGGGGACTGTCAGTGCCTCGCCTCATGAGTCAGCTGGCGACACTTCGACCGCACTTGTGATACTTTGGCATTGGGAAATACTTCTCGATTCATCGTGGACGCTGTTGCCTTGGTCGCGGTCCACACTCGCTTCTCGGTTATGTGACAAGTAAACCTCGCCTGTACTGACTGATTCCAGCCGTGCTTCCCTCGAGAAAGCGTCCATGTTGAGCTGTTGCGTTTCTGGGAGAGCGAGGCACCGGGCGTGCGTCATTGGGGTTGCCCATTTCTGGTCAGGTGATTCAGCCCCAATTTCAAGCTGATATCATTTTAGTTGCGTCCTAGTAGTCTCGCACGTGCCTGGTCAGTATTTCATGTTAAGCCAAAGACATTGTGTGTGAGCGTGTGTGTGTGTGGGAGGTGTGCGTGTGTGTGTGTGTGTGAGCGGCCGGTACAACAGCGCACAGAAGTGACCATACCGCATATGAATCTATGGAATCCGATATATTTTCTTCGTTGTAGCGTATTTACTGCGCACCGGCCGGCAGCCGCGGTAGTGGTCTGTGGTGTCTGCAAGACATCGTCCTTTAATCTTGCATCTGTGTCCTTTTGCAACTCGTTCGCGGCCTGTCTGTACATCGTTGATCGCGTGTCTGTGACCGTCTTCCGACCTGTCAGCCCGTGCCGCGGCGGGCCTCGGCAGGGCCACGCGCCACGCCGGTGTCCGCGTCGCGAGCGCAGCCTCGGACACCTCAGCGGACACCCGAAGACGGCGGGGTCCAGCTCGGTTGCCAGCGGCGAAGGCGATCGCGCGGTGCGATGGCACCGGCGGGTGGCAGTGAGCGGTGCTGTTGGCAGACGCCCCGGGCCCGCTGGAAGTGTACATGTGGGCGGCGTGGCCCGAGATCCAGAGACCGATCCGTTGTCGGAAATATCTAACTAGAAAACTCGACATTGTGTTACTGCTTGCTGGTGTAAGTGAAGTCATGTATTCAATTAACGGAACTGCCACCTCTGGAATGTAGGCACGTGTTGCACTCGTTTATTTTAAGGGGAAGGGGGCATTAACTATAGTTGAGTACCCCGGCCGACCCCTGTCAACCGGACCTTTTGACGATTTTCGTTATCGGGTCGCACCAGAGACCTGGCAGGACCGGCAGCATGCCGGATTTCGTTGTCAATACATACTGCATATCTGCCCTGGCAATCAACAACGTCCTTTTGAGGCTCGAGTGTTCACGATTCCATAAAAGGCCCTCGCGCCTGCTGGCAGCGCAGCCGGGCGTGGCTGCTTTCAACCTGCACGCTCGCCACAGTAACGAATGAAGTCAAACTGCTTGCTGCTAGTTGCTTGCTTCGGGGGCTAATTTCGTGCGGAAGTGCGCAAGTATTTGTAGACCTTGACGTTCTTTCGCTGGGGTCACGTGGGCTAGAAAGCTGTGTGAAGTATAGCCTCACTTTCATACGAAAGTAGAGCCCAAAGCGAACTGACCTGGTTTCAGTGGGCCTTTTAATCAAAAATGTTTTGTCCTTAATGTTCCAGCCTTCGGCCTGGAAGTGGCCTGTTGGGTTTTACACAACGTGGCTGTCACGGCTTAGTCTCGAGCAGGCGATAACGGAGGCGTTTCCAACGCCGGCTGGGAAAACAGCACAATGAAGCTCACAAGTCAGCTACATCCAGTTGTAATTTGGCAGGGCCACTTGGGATGTGGCATGACTAATGTTCGTTGCTCAAACGAAAGACTCATCGAGATTAAATGACGATTCCCTGGGAGAGGCCCGAGATCGAATACGACGTCCACGTACCGTCATTTGCAGTCTAATCATCTGTGGCATTTCTCGTCCACCTACCCAGCCGGTACTAGCTCCTTCTCGTGGCAGCATTCGGTGGCCGCCAGCCCGCGTGCAGGCCACACATTCTGTACCGGCATCCAGGACTCTGGATTTGATTTGCGCATTCGTATATTTCCACAATTGACGCGTGTCGACAGCCCGGGAGGCACTTGAGTCGCTCGCGCGGCCGGCGGAGGCGCCGCTGAGCGCCTGCCAAGCCGCGCGACCCTGCGCCGTCCCTGTGACGCCCAGGTCGCGGCACGCCCGGCGTCCATGCCTGGTGTAAACGTCAAACCCCATTGCGTTTTTGGCGGTCGTCTGTCGCCATTTTTGAGGTCGGTTCAAGATCCGACAGCATACACAGATGTTCTCAGAAGGCCGTAATGCAATCCTCAGATCCGGCCTGGACAGAGGCTCTACCGATCCCAACTCTGGCCTCACAAGGCCCCATGGAACTGGTCGTAGACCAGCCAGGTCGAGACCACCTGGCTGACTCCGCAGCGGCAACGCCGGGCCCCGCCCTGCGGCGGCTTCCGTCGCGCCGAAGCGTCGTGGTCTATGGAGAAAATCTGCATTTGCTGTCCGATGCGCTTTTCTAAAAAAAAATCACACACTGTGTTGTGGCTAGCTTTTTGAATTTCACATGAACCAAAGCGTCGACGACCCTTCTCCAAAAAATCACAAGCCGGTGGGTACGCGTCCGACGGCAAGCTCGGGCGCACAGGGTGTGCACTCCGACGGCTTGGTGTCCGTACGCAGCCTCCGCACAGCGCAGAAGGCAGGCGAGCACGAGCGCCACAGCGCCCCACGCCGCGGTGAATCCGATCTATGGCGAACCGCGCGCCCTGCTCCGCCAAATGCGTGGGAGCATCGCGACGCCAGCCGCGCTCGCGGACACCCGTAGATAGCTCAAACGTCGTGGCAACGGTTGAAGCAGTTGATGCTGGCAACTGGTCGCTGGTAACACTGGTCGAGGCAGCTGGCAACGGAGAGAACAGACGGGACAACACAAATAACGGAGTGGCAGCAGAAGCAAGCATCATAGTACCACACGTAGTGTCAAACGCTGCAGCTACCGGACCGACACACAAGGTTGTATAATGCACGACACGGAGCGCGAATACACCAAAGCGATTACACTGCGCTGCCACGTAATTGCACCGTGCTGCGACATCAGCTGGTGGGAGCCCCGCGCAAAGCCCCCAGCAACTCGTCGCAGCACTCGCCGGGACGCTGGTGGCGGCCACTTTACGACAGCCATCTTACAGCCCGACCATGTCCACCCGATCGCACCAACTGACGGTCCTGGGATGCACCATCGTGGCAAGAGGCGCCGCCTCGGCAGGCACCATCGTGACAAGAGGCGCCGCCTCAGCAGGCACCATCGTGGCAAGAGGCGCCTCGCCCCGGCAGGCCCCATCACGACCAGACGCACCGCCGTGGCAGCAGGCGCCGCTCGACGGGCCCACTCACTTCGCACGGTCACCAGCAGATGGCAGTGCACGAACGCGAAACCGCGCAAGACGCCGTAACTACACAAATCTGAACATGTGGACACAATGACAGCATCTAGCCGCTCCCGCCTGATCCCTGGCGCGCGCACAAGTACCCTAGCAAAACGAGTAAGTTGCCTCAGTGGTGCGGGGCTTGAAGCTCGAGGTCATCCCGATAAAATACCGGCCGCCGCCGCCCGCAGGCCGGCTCCGCGGCCCGGTAACTCTGCACGCGGCCTCACACCCCCTGCGTCGAGCGGCGTCCGGTGACGGCGTCGCGGCGCAGTCGCGGCGCCCCTACGCCCGTGCCGGCACACCCATCAGCTGCGCGGCAGACGCGCCGACCGAGGCTCGGCCGGGCGAGGGCCGGCGGCGAGCGGCCGGCGCCAGGCCCATCAGCTGCGCGGCAGCCCGTACACGGAGACCAGCGAGTCGGTGCTGCCGGCCGCCAACGCCACCCGCACTGGGTGGAACGCCAGGCAGGAGACGGGCCCTGCCGACAGGCGCCACCCACCCAGTCAGCCGACCCGTCCGCCGGGCGCCGCCCCGAGGCCAGACGACCAGCCGCCCACTCGGGGCACGAAACAACAACGCACACGCAGCTGAGCACTTCCGGATCGTGGCGCGGGACGATGTGGCTTCTGAACTCGAACAGTCACGAACAACCATGAAGAACAAAAGGGTCGTCTATCTATCTGTTCGGTATTTGAGCCATGCAAAACGACACTAAGGACCACTTCGTTGCATGTTGACCGTCTGTCAGGCCAGACTTCAGCTGGCTTTTCATCTGTTTACGCGTTGGTTCAGGGAGGCGCGCCTAACCTGACCGCCTCACTCCCAGTCCCCTCCTGCCCACTCCGCCAGCACAGGCGGCGTGGCCAGGGCGGCACGAGGCCTGTGCCGTCGCCCCAGCCGCGGGTGGGGTGCGTGTGTGTGTGTGTCAGCGCGGCGACCTGGCCAGGGCAGCGCGAGGCCTGTGCCGTCGCCACAGCCGCGGGTGGGGTGCGCGTGCGTGCGTGCGTGCGTGCGTGCGTGCGTGCGTGCGTGCGTGCGTACGTGCGTGCGTGCGTGCGTGTGTGTGCGTGCGTGTGTGTGTGTGTCAGCGCGGCCCACTCACCGATGCGCTGTCCCATGAAGCCGTCATGGTAGCGGATGGTGTTGAGGCTCTCGCCCGTCAGCGTGTACAGCGATATGTACTGGTTCACCGACCCGCTGCGGCAGGGCACACGCACACCGGTCACACGTGTGCGAGGTTCCGCGGCACGCAGCACAGGCATCGCAGTCGCCCAGCCCGCGCCAGCCGCACACGCTCCAGTGACGACCGGAGCCGGAGAGATGTCAGCGCAGGATATTGCACGGGGTTCGTCATGACACCCTGTACGGTACAAAGCACGCGCCCGACCCGAGCGGCGGTCAGCGGAGCCGAGCAGGCACTCCACAGACTGAGGTCAATACTCACAAAACCCGACCTCTGAGGCCAGCCACATCTCGCGGACCACGCACAGCACTCACCAGACCACCGGCTCAACATGCCACTGACGGCATCCGTACACAAACCACACTCACCAGACTGCAGACACCCTTCTCAGGCTGCAGACAACTCTCAGACTGCAGACAACCCTTCTCAGACCTCCTGCAACTCTTACCAATGTCCTCAGACCACGGGCAACACCGTCCACCGTCCCCAAATGAGACAACCCTCATAGTCATGACCTCACGCACTGCTCCTCATACAACAGATGACTCGCAGGATCAAAGGAGCACTCGCTGCTGTCTCCAGGCCACAGACCGCGGACAATCCGCTCCACTGTCACCAGATCACGGACAATCCGCTCCACTGTCACCAGACCACGGACCATTCGCTCCACTGTCACCAGACCACGGACAATCCGCTCCACTGTCACCAGACCACGGACAATCCGCTCCATGTCACCAGACCACGGACAATCCGCTCCATGTCACCTGACCACGGACAATCCGCTCCACTGTCGTTAGGCCAGACACCACTCAACAGCCTACAGACACATACCAAGAGCAGACAACACTCCTCAGACCACAGACATTACTCAACAAACCACAGTCAATACTATGCACATTAGGCGGCACTCCGCCCATAAATCGCCTCCAAACCATAGAAGACGCTCACACCAGACTAGTCCGACGCTTTTCCCCAGGGCGCAGCCAGCGCTCGCCCGACCACGGCGCACACTCACCAGGCCAGCAGGTCGGCGGTGGGGTGCACAGCCATGGTCATCACGTCGGAGACGGTGTGGAACGTCCTGACGGAGGAGGGCCGCCGGGCGTCCCAGAGCTTGACGTCGCCCTTCTGACTGCAGGCGAGGCCGAGTCGGCCCGCGTCAGGCGCCGGCCGGTCGGCGGCACAGCGACCGACGCCGACCGCCGCCGGCCAGCAGCACAGCGACCGACGTCGACCGTCGCCGGCCGGATTAAACCCGGCTGCATCACCGCATCTCATCCTCATCCAGCTACACGGCCCAAACGCGGGTGGACAGTTGACACGTGCTCGGTAGATGGCGACGTGGGCCCCGCCGGCGGCCTCCACACTGCAATTATGGGCTCCCAGGCAGGACTGGACGTGAAACGGTTGTGTCCATGACACCACGGCCACCTCGCAGGGATAAACAGAGGCAACATTGTGAACTTCAGCACCAGAGACGTCGGTATCCTGTAATCGGGTTCGACAGCGGCTCCGCTGCGCCCTGGTCGTGAGCGGCCGTCTGCCGGCGGCGGTACTCACTCTCCCGTGACGGCCACCGTGTGTCCTCCGACGGCGCGCAGCTCAGCCGACACCACGAACGCCTGGTGCTCGCGCCACGAGCCCACCCGCGACTGCGGCCCCGACAGGCGCGTGTCGAACAGGCCGACCGTGCCGCTGGAGCAGCCGGCCACCACCAGGTGGGGCTCTGCGTGCCGCGGGGGAGGGGACAGGACGCGTCAGCAGACAAGGCGCGTCAGAAGACAAGGCGCGTCAGAAGGCAGGGCGCGTCAGACGAGAGGGCGCGTCAGAAGACAGGGCGCGTCAGACGAGAGGGCGTCAGAAGACAGGGCGAGTCAGCATACAGGGCGCGTCAGAAGACAGGGCGCGTCAAAAAATGGCGCTGGGGCGAGACGACAGGCCGGCACGGGTCAAGCACCGAACACGCCTGGGAGCACCGGCACTGCACCAGCGCACCGCCAGGCCGACCGGAGGGTACGGCGTGTGTCCCCCCCTCCCCCCCTTCCCCTTACCTACACTTAACGCCAGTCAGAAAAGAGTCCCCAGCCAGAGCATGCGAGGGACGGGGCGCGCCGGCCACCACCGACCTGACTCGTTGGAGGCCAGCGCCGTGACGGAGGTGTCGGCGCCGCACGGCAGCTCGGCGACGCGCCGCTCGCGCTGCAGGTCCCAGACGTGCAGCGAGCGCTCCTCGCCGCCGGCCACCAGCCGGCCGCTCGCCTGCAGCCAGGTGACGGAGAGCGCCGCCACCCGCGTCGCCTCCAGCGCCGACCACGAGGTGACGCAGAGCGGCGCGCGCGTGGCCGGCTCGCTGTAGTCGGACCACACCCTGGCGGCGCCGCGCTCGCGGTCAGCACCAGCCGCGGCCGCACTCGGAGGGCCGCACGGCCGCCACCACACGGAGCACACGCCGAGCTCCGCCACGGAAGCGGCCGGCCGGCTCCCTGCGATGTCACCTGCTGGTGTGCTCCACACTAAATGTGCGACACGCATGCACGCGGGTGTTCTGGGTTTGAGGCGCACGAATACATTCCGGTCCCACTTAAACCCGTATTCTAGGAGAGTGATCTTCACAACGGCGCCATGTACCATGCGCCGGACTCAAGCCATGAACCTAAGCCAAACGCACTGCCGACCGTGTCCCCCCCCCCCCCCCCCTCCCCGGAGTGGACAACGGCCATTCTCACTGGTCTGAGCGCTGCGTGGGAGGCTGGAGTCGCTCTGCACGGTGGGGGGGGGGGGGGCGCGATCTGTGCTATATATATGGGAGTGCTTTGTGTCGTGGACGGGAGAGTGACCTGTGCAGTGTACGGGAGAGTGATGTGTGCAGTATGAGGGGCAGTGATCTGTGCGGTGTACGAGAGAGTCAGCTGTGCAGTGTACGGGAGTGATCCATCCAGTGCACGAGAGTCAGCTATGCAGTGTATGGGAGTGATCTGTGCAGTATGAGGAGCAGTGATATGTGCAGTGTGCAGGAGAGTCGGCTGTGCAACTTGCAGTTTATGGGACAGTTATCTGTGCGGTGTAAGTACGACATATGTGCAGTGTGCCGGTGTGCTGTGAAGGTGATCTGTACAGTGTGTGCAGGCGGTGTGCAGGAGCGGTGCGTGCCCTGAGGCAGTGTGCAGGAGCGGTGCATGACCTGAGGCAGTGTGCAGGAGCGGAGCGTGACCTGAGGCAGTGTGCAGGAGCGGAGCGTGACCTGAGGCAGTGTGCAGGAGCGGTGCATGACCTGAGGCAGTGTGCAGGAGCGGTGCGTGACCTGAGGCAGTGTGTAGGAGCGGTGTATGACTTGAGGCAGTGTGCAGGAGCGGTGCATGACCTGAGACAGTGTGCAGGAGCGGTGCATGACCTGAGGCAGTGTGCAGGAGCGGTGCATGACCTGAGGCAGTGTGCAGGAGCTGTGCATGACCTGAGCAGTGGGCAGGAGTGGTGCGTGCACCTGCAGCAGTGTTGCAGGAGCGGTGCAGACCTGAGGCAGGTGCAGGAGCGGTCACTACCTGAGGCAGTGGCAGCGAGCGGTGCATTGACCTGAGGCAGTGTGCAGGAGCGGTTGCCTAAACCTGAGGCAGTGTGCAGGAAGCGGAGCGTGACATGATGCAGTGTATGCAGCGAGCGGTGAATGACCTGATGCAGTGTGCAGGAGCGTGCATGACCTGAGCAGTGTGCAGGAGCGGTGCATGACCTGAGCCAGTGTGCAGGAGCGGTGCATCAACCTGAGGCAGTGTGCAGGAGCGGAGACGCTGACCTGAGGCAGTGTGCCGGAGCGGTGATGACCTGCTAATGACCTAGGCAGTGTGCATGACGGTGCAACTAGGCAGTGTGCAGGCGGTGCATAACCTGAGGCAGTGTGCAGGAGCGGAGCGTGACCTGAGGCAGTGTGCAGGAGCGGAGCTGACCAGCGTTGCAGGCGGTGCATGACCTGAGGCAGTTGCAGAGCGGCAGAGGCTGTGGAGGACCTGAGCGTGTGCAGGAGCGGTGATGACCTGAGGCAGTGTGCGGAGCGGAGCGTGACCTGAGGCAGTGTGCAGGAGCGGTGTCTTGAGGCAGTGTGCAGGAGGGGCGGTTGTGATCTGAGCAGTGTGCAGGAGCGGTGCATGACCTGAGGCAGTGTGCAGGAGCGGTGCATGACCTGAGGCAGTGTGCAGGAGCGGAGTGTGACTTTAGGCAGTGTGCAGGACCGGAGCATGAGCTAAGGAGCGTGATCTGAGGCTGTATACAGGAGCTGAGCGTGACCTGAGGCAGTGTGCAGGAGCGGTGCATGACCTGAGGCAGTGTGCAGGAGCGGTGCGTGACCTGAGGCAGTGTGCAGGAGCGGTGCATGACCTGAGGCAGTGTGCAGGAGCTGTGCATGACCTGAGGCAGTGTGCAGGAGCGGTGCGTGACCTGAGGCAGTGTGAAGGAGCGGTGCAAGACCTGAGGCAGTGTGCAGGAGCGGTGCATGACCTGAGGCAGTGTGCAGGAGCGGTGCATGACCTGAGGCAGTGTGCAGGAGCTAAGCGTGACCTGGGGCAGTGTGCAGTAGCGGTGCATGACCTGAGGCAGTGTGCAGGAGCGGAGCGTGACCTGAGGCAGTGCGGGACGAAGCTGACCTGACAGTGCCGTCGTCAGCCGCCACTAGCAGCAGCGTCTGATGCTGGGGGTTGATGAACTCCAGACCCGTGATGCGCGTCGTGCTGCCCTTGCCCGGCATGTGGTTGACGTGCTGCGTCAGCTGCTGGCCCTTGCTGTAGTCGATCACACTGCCGACGCCCATCGACAGCGGCAGTCAGCGACACACCCGGTGCCAAGCGACGTCATTGTGCGCGAGAAGCTGCAGGGCACTGCTCTAGGTACAAGAGAACAGCTGCCGGTGGACAAATCGGCCGTGTCGCCCCGCCCGCGCGGCGGCCCTCTCGGCGCCGCGGCTGACCTGAAGCGGTTCTTGTCGGCCACCACCAGGTGTCCGGTGTAGGGGCTGAAGCGCAGCTGGGCAGGGGCCACACCGTGCTTGCAGAGCATCAGCTGGTGCTCCAGCCGGTCCTGGTGCAGCCGGCTCACTTCTCTCTCGCCCTCACGGCGCGCGCGCGCGTTCTCTGCGAACCTGCGCCACGGCAGGCGGACCGCCCGGTCAGAGCCCCTCGGAGACCGGGCCGCAAACAAACGAACGCATCCATCGCAGCTGGCGAAAGCGCAGCAACGCGCACGTCAGCATGTCAAGAAAGCAGGAAGCACGCTCCCAGGACCACAAGAATGCGCCAAACCAGGAGCGAACAACGTCAGATGTGACGCGTCTCGACGTTGCTGTAACAGCCCGCCCGAGCTAGCGACACCTGACAAGTACATGCACGAGACTGGGAGGCCTACCGCCCGTGGTCTCCGTCCCGCGAGACTGGGACTAGCAGGTCTGCCGCCAGTGGTCCCCGTCCCGCGAGACTGGGACTGGGAGCCCTGCCACCAGTGGTCCCCTTCGGACTGGGAGGCCTGCCGCCCGTGGTCCCTGTCCCGCGAGACTGGGGCTGGGAGACCTGCCGCCAGCGGTCCCCGTCCCGCGAGACTGGGACTGGGAGCCCTGCCGCCAGTGGTCCCCATCAGACTGGGAGGCATGCCGCCCGTGGTCCCCGTCCCGCGAGACTGGGGCTGGGAGATCTGCCCCCAGCAGTCCCCGTCCCGCGAGACTGGGGCTGGGAGATCTGCCGCCAGCAGTCCCCGTCCCGCGAGACTGGGGCTGGGAGCCCTGCCGCCAGTGGTCCCCATCAGACTGAGAGGCCTGCCGCCCGTGGTCCCCGTCCCGCGAGACTGGGGCTGGGAGATCTGCCCCCAGCAGTCCCCGTCCCGCGAGACTGGGGCTGGGAGACCTGCCGCCAGTGGTCTCCGTCTCGCAGGCGGACGCGTAAACGCCGCACCGGGGCCCGACCGACGCCGACAGGGTGCGGCCGCAGTGGCCGCCCACCTGCACTCTTTGGCGTAGGCCTCGTCGTCGTCCTCGGTCGCCTCCGAGTGCTCGGTGAAGAGGTTCAGAGGGCGCGCGTAGAAGTGGTCCATCCAGTCGACGAAGCACGTGCGCAGCGGAATGTCGCTGCAACCAGCGGCAGCTGGATCACACAGTGCCGCCGACTGGTACTTGAGAGCGCACCAACCGGGACCAGACGAAACATCATCTCACGGGCCTTACACCAACATTTAACAGGGATTATGTTACACAGCGTATTTCCTGATGGGCGTGTGAGCGCCAATTCATGTAGTATATTGTTCAAAACTGTCTGGATGCGAGTCTGGCCCACCTTGGCAGGTTGAGTCGACGAAGTGGATGATTTTGTCAAGAATGATGTTTTGCCAAAATTTTGGTTCGATATTGGTGGCACTTCAACAGGAGCAGACATCCCTGTTATTTCACGACCACACCTCTCCCTGTTTAAACCAGAACACATGACGCTCGAGACCGGTTACGAAAAGGTAACGATGGCCGCTTTCACACCGACATCTAGGCTGCCTTTGCGGACAACATTGAGATTCACGGAGGTTTGCAAACGCTACATCATCAGCTTACAACGTGCAATGTGTCCCTCGCCTGTGTTCGCTCTCGCTGCCGAGATCTAACAAAAATCAGAGAAAACACTGCCGCTGTGCACTATGTACAACAAAACACGACTATCCCACATTGACGGGATACGTATGCCCTCGAAACAGCCTTCGTTACATGCATCAACTTTCCCAGAAGGTAAATTTGGCGGCCTTAGTCCGTGATAATGTTGCGACTGATGTCACTGTGGAGCCACCTGACTTGATCGCGCCTTTCATTACTGGATATTTCTGCTTAAACTATCCCTCATAAACTTGCTTAAACGATCTGCCTCATCGAGATGGCATGCGACTGTCGGCCAGTCCTTCATCTTACTGTAATATTCCAAAGGCAGGTGTCACGTAAGCACCCGTAGTTCCTCACACGTAATTCACATTATGTTGCCGTTCCATTCGACTCCACTTGTTTACAATAAGAATGGCATGGCTTGCTTTAGTTGAGTTTTTGCCAATTTTTGCCACTGACATCTTACGTCCGCGGTTAAACTGGTCAAAACCGGCTGGCAGAAGCCGCGGAGCAGCCGGTTGCCGTGAACCTTCACTGATATATGGCAATTCAAAACCGTCTTTGTAACACGTTCCACGCTTTCCGTACTAGTCCAATCGGCAATGCTGTATTATGATCACACTACAATGCTGCAAAACAACCGCACCTGACCACGCATATTGCATGTCAATGCCGTACCACTGGTTGCTGGTAACGGCCACCACTGCACCGGTCCACAACATAAGCTACCAACGCCCCGACGGCCGGCCGCGGTGGCGCCGTCCCCTCACGTGTGTCCGGCCGGCAGGATCTCGGAGAGGCTGCCGTCGGCCGATGAGCGCGAGGTCCTGCGCAGCAGCGGGGACCAGGCCGGCGAGCGCGGCTCCGACGGGCTGCCAACGCGCACACCGTCAGACGGCGGCGCGGCCCACCACACAGGCGGCCGGTACGCGGGCGACGGCCTCCACCCGTCCGACCCGGCCGAGACCGTGGCGGACGCACCGACCGCCGTCGCAGCACGCCCCTCGTAATGATAACACAGGCGACGACCGAGGCCCGGTCGGCCCGACAGAGCGACGACGCAGGGAACTCTCACGCGACAGATGCCTGAGGTCCGACACCCGTGGGCATTACGGGTCGAGTATGGGCAGCATAACCAATGTTTGCTGGATGACGTCGTTTAACCGGTACCTCCGGGTATACTGAAGACCGACAACTATCAGCACACTATAAGCACTAGCACACACAGCATGATGGCACTCTTAACCCATGACGCCAAATAAGTCGATACTTTCGAAATCGAAATAACCCTGAACCGGCGAAATAAACCTGAGCCTGAACCCTGAACCACCAGACACGAAATACACAGCGCGCGTCGCGTCGTTACCTCCGTTGCGGGGAGCCGGCAGATGCGGTGTCGCTCATCACTGGCGTGTTCAGCTTCATCTGGGCCGCCTGGAGCCAGACCACGTGGTCAGCTGCCAGGCGGAACGGCACGGGCCCGCCCCGGGCAGGCGCCTGCACCTCGCCTCCCCAGAACACCGTCCACATCCCACCAGGTGTTCTCCTCTCGCCTCCCCAGAACACCGTCCACACCGCACTAAGCGTCCTCCTCTCGCGTCCCCAGCACACTGTCCACATCCCACCAGGCGTCCTCCCCTCGCCCCCCTAGCACAGCATCCGTACCCAACAAGCGCATCGAATGAGAGACTGACTACCAGGACGGCTGGTTACAGAGTCAATGTTAAAGCCGCGGCAGGTCGCAAGCAGAGCCATGGGTCCGCTGTTGCCAGCTGACAACAGGGCGCCGGGTGGCGCTGACTGACCTTCTGCCGGACCTGATGGGTCAGCTGCAGCACCATGTCCGCCACCTGGCTGTCCGGGTCTCGCTGCAGCGCGCCCAGCGCGTGCCACACCTTCCAGTAGACGCTGCCGAACGACAGGCTCATGTGCGTTGAGATACCTGCGGCACCAACGGCGGCTCACGTCCACATCCGGCTACCGATGGGTGTCTGGAAACGGCAGCTAGCACCACTAATGCCTCACTCCAAAAGCAGGCACCACAAAACAAAGCTGAGAAAAAAATGACTGCGGGAGAGAGAGAATGAGAGGAGAGAGAATGAGAGAGAGAGAGAGAGACAGAGACAGAGACAGAGACAGAGAGAGAGAGAGAGAGAGAGAGAGAGAGAGAGAGAGAGAGAGAGAGAGAGAGAGAGAGAGAGAGAGAGAGAGAGAGAGAGAGAGAGAGAGAAGAGAGAGAGAGAGAGACAGAGAGACAGAGAGACAGAGAACAGAGAGACACACAGAGACAAGAGAGACAGAGAGACAGAGAGACAAGAGAGACAGAGAGACAGATAGAGAGAACAGAGAGACAGAGAGACAGAGAGACAGAGAGACAGAGACAGAGAGACAGAGAGAAGGAAAGAGAGACAGAGAGACAGAGAGACAGAGAACAGAGAGACAGAGAACAGAGAGACAGAGAGACAGAGCGACAGAGAGACAGAGAGACAGAGAGACAGAGAGACAGAGAGACATAGACAGAGAGACAGAGAGACAGAGAGACAGAGAGACAGAGAGACAGAGAGACAGAGAGACAGAGAGACAGAGACAGAGAGACGAGAGACAGAGAGACAGAGAGACAGAGAGACAGAGAGACAGAGAGACAGAGAGACACAGAGACAGAGAGACAGATAGACAGAGAGACAGAGAGACAGAGACAGAGAGACAGAGAGACAGAGAGACAGAGAGACAGAGAGCAGAGACAGAGAGACAGAGAGACAGAGAGACAGAGAGACAGAGAGACAGAGAGACAGAGAGACAGAGAGACAGAGAGACAGAGAGACAGAGACAGAGAGACAGAGAGACAGAGAGACAGAGAGACAGAGATACAGAGACAAGAGACAGAGAGACAGAGAGACAGAGAGACAGAGACGAGAGACAGAGAGCAAGAAGAGAGCAGAGACAAGAGACAGAGAGACGAGAGACAGAGAGACAGAGAGACAGAGAGACAGAGAGACAGAGAGACAGAGAGACAGAGAGACAGAGAGACAGAGAGACAGAGAGACAGAGAGACAGAGAGACAGAGACAGAAGACAGAGAGACAGAGAGACAGAGAGACAGAGAGACAGAGAGACAGAGAGACAGAGAGCAGAGAGACAGAGAGACAGAGAGACAGAGAGACAGAGAGACAGAGAGACAGAGACGAGAGACAGAGAGACAGAGACAGAGAGACAGAGAGACAGAGAGACATAGAGACAGAGAGACAGAGAGACAGAGAGACAGAGAGACAGAAGACAGAGAACGAGAGACAGAGAGACAGAGAAGAGACAGAGAGACAGAGAGACAGAGAGACAGAGAGACAAGAGACAGAGAGACAAGAGACAGAAGACGAGAGACAGAGAGACAGAGAGACAGAGAGACAGAGCGACAGAGAACAGAGAGACAGAGAGACAGAGAGACAGAGAGACAGAGAGACAGAGAGACAGAGAGACAGAGACAGAGAGACAGAGAGACAGAGAGACAGAGAGACAGAGAGACAGAGAGAAGAGAGACAGAGAGACAGAGAGACAGAGAGACAGAGAGACAGAGAGACAGAGAGACAGAGAGAACGAGAGACAAAGACGAGACAGAGACAGACACACACACACACACACACACACACCACACACACACACACACACACACACACACACCCACACACACACACAACACACACCCACCACACACACACACACCCACACACACACACACACACACACAGAGGACTGGCGCTTACTGGTGCGGTTTTTCGAGCCCGGCGAGCTGATGCTGGTGAGGGAGCTGGCCGACGAGACGCGCTTGAACGGCTGCGGGGACCGGGCCGAGTCGCTGGCGCCCGACACGGTCAGGTAGTTCTGCCGACCGCGGCCGCACATCACGTCATTTCACAATACTACAGCCAACCAAAGCCCAGCGCTGGTGTCGCTTGTAGTTTTTTGTATTTTTATGAGTGCAGCCTTCGCGCTATTTCCATAAAACTAAACAACCAGGAGTTTAAGCATGACGAGGTTATTTTGGAATGGTTTCCATCAGTCCTTAATGCGGACAAATTTGGTATTTTGAACCAAGCTTTCGACCTACTTCATTTTTTCCTATTTAAAATTGTTTCCCAACATAGCATGGACAACGTAAGATCCACTTTGACGCCAAGGCTCTTTTGCCGAGCGATGTCCCGACTTCCGAGATAATTCCAACTCGGCCTACCGTCATTCGTCGAGTCTTTGGGCCGGCACCGGCCACGATATGCACCTAAACATGATACAGGGTCATGGTTCGCTTCGCTGCAGCGCCAGTGACAAAAAGTGTCAGCAAATGTGTCAAGTCGCGCGCCATCCATGTAAGGAAGCCATGGCTGCACACGCAACTCGCACGTCATGATTGTTGGATTTAATATCATGCCTCAGAAACGGCTGGAGCTCACAGCTCAAGTGTCCTGACTTGAGACGGCCTGTCGTCCAGAGGCCATTTGGTAAAATCGATGCAAATTGAGTATTATCTTCACGCACACACATTCTCCACACGTTCACAGACTCAGAGTACTTGACACATTAGCAGTACGTAAACGAGAAACTACCAGGCCCTCAAAGGTCTGCAGTCGTACACCAATGTTGCTGCTCGACCCAGTCACCGGAGACGATAACTGAAAGACAGGCTGTGGCTCCTTGCCCAGCGGTGGCCGCCGAGCCACCGAGACATGGCCACGGCCCGGCAGGGGAGTGAGCGCACCTCGCGCTGGGCCGCGGCCGACTGCTCCTCCTCCTGCGCGGCCAGCGAGACGAACTTGCTCTCAAACTGCTGCACAAAGCTGCTGAACGCCGATATCAGCTCCTGTGGCGACCGCGTCAGCCGTCAGACACTGGCAGCTCGACAGATACTGGGGTCAGCTGTCACAGGCAGCTCAACAGATACTGGAGCCAGCTATCAGGGGAAGCTCGACAGACACTGGGGTCAGCTGTCACAGGCAGCCCGACAGACACTGGGGTCAGCTGTCACAGGCAGCTCGACAGATACTGGGGCCAGCTATCAGGGGAAGCTCGACAGACACTGGGGTCAGCTGTCACAGGCAGCTCGACAGACACTGGGGTCAGCTGTCACAGGTAGCTCGACATATACTGGGGTCAGCTATCAGGGGAAGCTCGACAGACATTGGGGTCAGCTGTCACAGGCAGCTGAACAGATACTGGGGTCAGCTGTCACAGACAGCTCGACAGACACTGGGGTCAGCTGTCACAGGCAGCTCGACGGATACTGGGGTCAGCTGTCACAGACAGCTCGACAGACACTGGGGTCAGCTGTCACAGACAGCTCGACAGACACTGGGATCAGCTGTCACAGGCAGCCTGACAGACACTGGGGTCAGCTGTCACAGACAGCTCAACAGATACTGGGGTCAGCTGTCACAGGCGGCTGAACGGACACTGGGGTCAGCTGTCATAGGCAGCTCGACAGACACTGGAGTCAGCTGTCACAGGCAGCTGAACGGACACTGGGGTCAGCTGTCACAGGCAGCTCGACAGACACTGGGGTCAGCTGTCACAGGCAGCTCGGCAGACACAGGCGGCAGCTTACACCATACCACACAGCCCGAGGCTGCACCAGCCAAGTGTCAAACCTACATCAACAGAGCCACCCTGCAGTGACGGTTTTAGAACTACGCACGATCAACCAGAACATACCGCACAGCACAGCGCAGCAACGCACAGCAATCTAAGCTCACTGTACGTGCTGCGGCGGCAGGTCCGCCCCGACTGGGCTCTCCACATGCCGTGCCACCTGTGGGTCGGTAGCTGGGCCGACGGGGGCACCCACCCGGCGCGTCGCCCTGGCCGGCGGGACCCTGCCCAGCCCCTGTCGGCGGGGGTCCCGCCGGTCGCCAGGGGTACTCACCCGGCGCACCATCGGACTGCCGTCCCTGGCCGGCGGGACCCTGCCCAGCCCCTGTCGGCGGGGGTCCCGCCGGTCGCCAGGGGTACTCACCCGGCGCACCATCGGACTGCCGTCCCTGGCCGGCGGGACCCTGCCCAGCCCCTGTCGGCGCGGGTCCCACCGGTCGCCAGGGGTACTCACCCGGCGCACCATCGGACTGCCGTCCCGCAGTGAGTGCTTTAGCAGTGCCATGGCCACTGAGTGGTCCACAGTGTTGGCGTGCTCGGTGCGCTCCACTACGGCGTTCATGAAGGTGCCCAGCGCGTACACGGCCGCCGTCCGCACCTGAGACACGGCACACACAAACACACGATGACCGGTCACGTCAGCAGGCAGTTGTCAGACCTGGCGACGCTATCAAGTTATTTTATTTCGCTGAATGACACCAGTTAATCAAACGCATGAATCTGCACTGCGCTTACCAAATGTTACGACCACTTCACGGGACACGATGCAGGAGAATGATCTTGAGACGCCACGAAACGTGTTGCTAGGTTTTAAACCAGAAAGTTCAGCGATCGCTGAGTGATTATGGCCAAAGTCAAAGTGAATTATATAGGACAACGCCTTGACGAAATATCTTGATCAAGTTTTTTCATTTTCTAATTCATCGCCATCTGTGATTTCCAGTATATTTTGCGCATCAGATGCCTGTATTAAAAAAGGATTTGAGTACACAGGTACACCCAGCAGCACATCAAACGCATTCATCAGACTTCTGCGTGACCCAGTCGAAGACCGCGCCCCACCCCACACCGGACGTGGGGAGCGAGGCGCGAGCGCGGCGGGCGCGGCACCCGGCCGGCGGGGGCCGCCTACCTCGGGCACCTCGTCCTCCAGCAGGGTGAGCAGCTTCTCGTGTGCCAGGTCACGCACGCCCGACCAGCGCGCCTGGTCGTTGTGTAGCCACAGATGCCCGAGCGTGATGGCCAGCCAGCTCCTGCCGACGCGCGCCCGGTCCCAGTCAGCTGGGCTCAGGGGCGCCGCCGTCGGCTGCTCACGCCACAGCGGGGATCAGCCGCCGACGGCCACCAGCCGATCACGTGACGCCCAGCCCACCCCGATGGACGCGGCTCTGGGGGGGAACGGAGGCCGTCCTCCGCCACTGGTCTATTAATGACTCCGCGAAACAACAGCGGCAAAGAGCAGTGAAACGGGCATTCGCGAACTTGGAAATCGGCGACGCGGCCTTCATTTAATTTGAAGAGCCGATTCGTTCCCTTCCCTCGTTACAGCCCTGATAGCTCCCCATGCTCCACACAGTCCAGTTCCACACAATCCCTGACACTAGGCGGTATTTTCTGGAACTGGAGTATCAGGGATCGAAAGGCGCTCCGTCCCCCTTCGCACGGGGTCCTCCACCTGTTCTACACGGGACTTGTCTGGGGTGAGGGGGTGCAGTACCTCAGCAGGGGGCCGGAGCACTTCACCTGCTCTACACGGGACTTGTCTGGGGTGAGGGGGTGCAGTACCTCAGCAGGGGGCCGGAGCACTCCACCTGCTCTACACGGGACTTGTCTGGGGTGAGGAGGTACAGTACCTCAGCAGGGGGCGGAGTCTTCCCCCTGTTCTACACGGGACTTGTCTGGGGTGAGGGGGTACAGTACCTCAGCAGGGGGCCGGAGTCCTCCCCCTGTTCTACACGGGACTTGTCTGGGGTGAGGGGGTGCAGTACCTCAGCAGGGGGCCGGAGTCCTCCCCCTGTTCTACACGGGACTTGTCTGGGGTGAGGGGGTGCAGTACCTCAGCAGGGGACTGGGGTCCTCCATCTGCTCCACACAGTACGGGATCAGACTGCCCTGCAGCGCCACCTTCTGGCCGGCCCGGTAGTTGCGCACCATGGTGGCCAGCACGAACGCCGCCTGTAGGGTGCGACACACCGCCGCCCATCACCCGGCAGCCAACAGCCGCGGAGCGGCTCGCCAACACTCTCAAGACGCCAACCACTTTCAGGCACCGCCTGACGACAACGGCGGAAAACGTCCAGCAAACACGTCCAGCCGCTTGCAGCACACTAAAGAACGGACTGAAACAACTGACTACCAGCAGGCGGGCGGCACCAACTGCATGAAGAACAAACAGCGAATCAACAGACCGAAGAGGCGGCCGAGCCCAGCAGCGGCTCGGACGGAGTCACCAGTCCGCCGTCGCCGCCGGCGCGCCGGTGCGGGCCGGTGGCGGACTGCACGCACGGCCGGGCGGCTGGTCCGGCCTCCGCGCTCTGCCTCTCTCACCATGGTCCTGTGCTGCGCCGGCATGTGTGGGTCGGCCAGCACCTCCAGGAAGTAGCTGTGGCCGCTGTCCCGCACCAGGTCCGCCTGACACGACTGCACACGGGGCGGCCGTCAGTCCAGCGGCCCGCAGCCGCGCCAAAACGACATAAGCTGCACAGCAGGGGCACCGCCATAGGCAGCGGTGGGGAAACTTCCCCTTACCCACGCCTGACCCTCAAAGGATTCCCTAAGATCCGTGCATATCTTGAGACCTGCGGGTGGTTAGCTGTCGATGCGAGAGAATGACACAGAGGGTGACATACTGCACGCAGACGGCCGGCTGACACCGGCTCATCACAAATACCGACCAGTCTCCGGCGGCTGAGCCGAACCCTCCCGTATTCGGTGCACAAATACCGGCCAGTCTCCGGCGACCGAGCCGAAGCCTCCGGTATTCGATACCGGCCAGTCTCCGGCGTCTGAGCCAAAACCTCCGGTATTCGGTGCACAAATACCGGCCAGTCTCCGGCGGCTGAGCCGAACCCTCCCGTATTCGGTGCACAAATACCGGCCAGTCTCCGGCGTCTGAGCCAAAGTCTGCAGTGGAGCTAGCCAAGCGGTGACGGGTCGGCACGTCGGCCGCGCCACCGGCAGGTGACGCGACGACCTCGTGTGCGGCTCCGCCCGCCTGAGCACCTGCAGGTGCTGCGGGCGTCCCCCGCAGGGACCGGGCAGGCACCAGGTGGGCCGACGCACCGTCTGACGACCGCTGCCGGGCGGTGGGAGCCCGGCCGGCCGCCGGCGGACTCACCGGGTCCAGCGCCATGATCTTGGCCCAGATGATGACCAGCAGCGGGCGCAGCTCGCGCGCCGACGCCTGCAGCAGCTTCAGCACGTACGGGAAGATGCCGACCGAGAGCGCCTGGTTCACCGCCCACGGGCCCAGGTCCAGGAAGCGGCTCAGCAGGTCCAGCGCGCGCACGCGGTGTACCTGGCTGAGCAGCACCTGGCGGCGGCGCGCGGCGGCACGGCCGCTCAGGTCAGTGGTCCGGTCGCGTCAGGCGACGTCGGCTCGCTTCCGGTCGGTCCACCAGCGCAACTCCACCCGGATTTCATCGCACTCGCTCGGATCAGCTGCCAAGCGACAGCAGGCTGAGTGCGATCAGGTTCGACCAACGCACGCCTGGCTGCCGCCCAAAGAGTGACGCTGGAGGGCGGGGCGCGCCCGACTGCGCACGGCAGAGCACCCTCGGCCAGTCGCCCGCCGGCTCGGCACGCCGCCAGTGCCGTGCGCCGGCCGGCGGCGGGCCAGACGGGACGCGGACTCACCTGCAGCACGATGGGCAGCTGCTCGGGCGGCCGCTTCACCTCCACGCCGAACCTCAACCACACCTGGGGCAGGTCGGCCGGCGGCTCAGTCGGCGGCCGGCCACAGCTCTCCCCGCGTAAACGCACACACAAACCACCGGCATGCATGCTGTCTCCACGTGAGTCCGGTGTAATGCGGCGGGGCTAGCTGGGGCTTCATTATGACGGAACGTATCGGCCACACAGTTCAGCGTCATGGACTGAAGAGGTCACCCGCTTCCTATGCCAGTTACTCTCACATGCGTCCAACGCACATGGGCCTGCGTCCCGACAATGAGCCCACTCTCCCAGCTCGGACTGGTGCTCGCTCGGACTCCAGGGGAACATTACGCTCCGTGTCACACCGATCCCGTCCGCTCCCCGCCGTAGTAACGCAGCTGCAGCTCAGTTGGCCGTCGCCCCGCTCGCACCTGGAAGGCAGTGAGCTCCTCCTCGAAGAATGACGAGTGGTTGTACGTCTGTCGGTTCTCACGGATGATGGCCGGCAGCTGCAGGAGGCAGGCGTCCACCGCCAGGTCCCAGGACGACCACATGCTGTGCTACCGACCCCACCACAAGCCACGGTATCGGCAGAGGCCACACTCATGACCAGACATGGCGTGCGTTCGCGCACCACCAGCGACCGCGCCCCGTTCTGTCGCCACCAACAGCGCACGCCGGCCAGCCTGGCGTCGTGGAATAATTGAAGAGCGTGAAACTTGCCGGTGAAAACTGGTCCCTGTGCCGGTCCTTACGTCATAACAAATTTCCCGCCAGCATCGCCACCACTGCCGATCCACGAACAGTGAGCCGACCGCATGTTCAGCACAACCGAGCGTCGCGAAGCGGCATCACAGCACACCGGAAATGAAACCCGTGCACAGCCTGACGACCGCACGTTAGATGTCAACCCACGGCTGCAGGGCACATTGGCTGGTACTTCGCGGAGCTTCCGTGGAAAGGTTCAACGATCACATTTCAGGGTCGCGCGACACCGCAGCTCTGCAACAAACTTCCACATGTCCAGCCCGCGCCAAATCGCAGCTGACCGTTGGCACACCAATAGCTATATAGTACTACCACTTAGGAGCGCTACTAAGTCCCCGTAAGCCGCCGTTCTCCAGCGGCGCTAACGGCTGACAGTTGTGCAGGCAGTTAAGGTCAAGGCAGTGTGCTTACCTTGTGTGTGCTGGGTAAGAAGGGATGCGACACAGGGTTGCAGTCGTACGACTTCATGATTCGCTCGGCCAGGAGGAAGTTGCGGAACAAGCTAGCGACCAGAAGATCTTGGCGAAACAATCGTTGGAACACGTCTGGAACACGTGATGAAGCCTATCAAAAGTGTCCAAAATGACGTATTTGCTGTCCTTGAAAAGCAATACACAGGTCGCACCTAATGCAATAAAATCAACTCGTGTTCTCGCAACATCACGTGACAATTCAGAACAGCTCTAGGCAAACTTCAAGTCCATTAGCATTTCGCGCCTGTATAGGTTAGTATGTCGCCTCACCGCGTGGCGTGCACAGTTGAGTGTGTCGCGTGGCATGTACAGGCCAGTGCGTCGCCTCACCGCGCGGCGTGTACAGGTGAGTATGCTGCCTCACCGCGCGGCGTGTACAGGTGAGTGTATCGCGTGGCGTGTACAGGCCAGTGCGTCGCCTCACCGCGCAGCGTGTACAGGTGAGTGTGTCGCGTGGCGTGTACAGGTGAGTGTGTCGCCTCACCGCGCGGCGTGTACAGGTGAGTGTGTCGCCTCACCGCGCGGCGTGTACAGGTGAGTGTGTCGCCTCACCGTGTGGCGTGTACAGTTGAGTGTGTCGCGTGGCATGTACAGGCCAGTGCGTCGCCTCACCGCGTAGCGTGTACAGGTGAGTGTGTCGGGTGGCATGTACAGGCGAGTGCGTCGCTTCACCGCGCGGCGCGTACAGGTTAGTATGTTGCCTCACCGCGTGGCGTGCACAGTTGAGTGTGTCGGGTGGCATGTACAGGCCAGTGCCTCGCCTCACCGCGCGGCGTGTACAGGTGAGTATGCTGCCTCACCGCGCGGCGTGTACAGGTGAGTGTATCGCGTGGCATGTACAGGCGAGTGCGTCGCTTCACCGCGCGGCGTGTACAGGTGAGTGTGTCGCCTCACCGCGTGGCGTGTACAGGTGAGTGTATCGCGTGGCATGTACAGGCGAGTGCGTCGCTTCACCGCGCGGCGCGTACAGGTGAGTGTGTCGCCTCACCGCGTGGCGTGCACAGTTGAGTGTGTCGCGTGGCATGTACAGGCCAGTGCCTCGCCTCACCGCGCGGCATGTACGGGCCAGTGCGTCGCCTCACCGCGCGGCAGCGTGTTCCAGGCGATCGTATCTGTGATGGCCGTGAAGATCCAGTTGAGCTCGCCCAGCATCGTCCTCCGGTCGGTCAGCTGGCCGGGGATCTTCTCCAGCTCGTCCAGCGTCACGCCCGACACCAGCTGGTTCTGGTTGCTGATCACAAACCACCTGGCGAGGCCCGGTCGGCAGCGGAGCGTCAGTGGTAGGTCAGCGGGTGCGCGTGAGGACGGGCCAGATCGGGGTCAGCAGCGGTCAGCACACGTCTAGTGGGGATTGGGGCCTAGAAGGACCAAAGTCCATTAGACTTTGGACGTTTTAGGTGAGCTTTGACCTCGTCCAAAGTCACCACGTCCTGAACAGGCCAGCTTGAGCTGATCACCGCGCACTGAATGATGAAGGCTCGGTGGCAATCAGCTCCAGAGACTGAGTTTTGCATCACGTTCAGCAGATTTTGGTGGTCCGGGGCGCTTCTGGTTACATTTGACTCGAGCCAAAGGTCGCCACATTTCGAAACAGTGCATGTCATCCACGGTGGCCCATCGAATGGTGGACGTTTCGTGGTGACCCGCTCCATAGTGCTGGAGCATGGCATCATCAACAACTAATTTTTCCGATTTTGACGTTTGTTTGGTGATCTTTGGTCTGACCCACTGTCGACATATTCTAAAAACGAGAAGTCAGTGAGACACGTCGAATGGTTCTGATATGGTGACAGTCGGTATGATAAGTCCAGAGCGTACGATCACCGGCACCTCAAGTTGGCGGTTTGGGGCGTTTTTGGTGGCCTTGACCTAACGCAAGGTCACCGTATTGGGGACGGGTAAAGTCATTGACCAACGAATCGGAGCACAGGATGACATGCACGTAAATCTGGCGGCTTGGGACATTTGTGACGCCCGCTCACCTCAGCCAAGGTCAACGCAGTCTTCGAAGGATAAGATACCGACTATGGCACAGCGCCCTAAAGCCCAAAACATCATCATAGGAAGCGTGATGGTCTGGCTAAGATCGGTCACGGAACACTCGGAGCATGAGATAACCTGTAGCTGATTTTGACGGCTTATGACGTGTATATGACACCTCTGACAGGACGCAGTCACCTGTCTTCGACTTTGGTGCGGTCTGTGCAAGTATGGTAAGCTTTCTTGCGAGAATCATTCGGAGTGTGCATTGAACCAGTACTTGAGATTAAAAGGAGCTTAAGGGGAAACGCCTCAACATTTTTGCCAGGGGCGGGGCGTGCATTTTAATCGCTGTAACTTTTAAGACACTAGTCGGGGTCGCTATCTGTTGAAAGCACTGCGTCGATTATAACTGGGAGGCACGTTTAGCACCAAGCATCATCCGTATTTTAAATGGCGCGATTCTTGAACTTGCCTAAAAGACCTCTGACCCTCCATGTCACGGCGGCTCGTCTGACCGCCGCCAGCCCTGGGGTCGGAGCAGCGCCCCGGTCCACACCCGCTGCCGCACTACAGCACGCAGGACCCACCTCAGCGCCATGCGCACGGGCGTGGTGAGGCAGCAGGTGAAGAGGTCAGCTGGCAGCGACGGGTGCTGCGGCAGGATCTCCTTGGCGCCGCAGGCCGCCAGCTGGATGCAGCTGTTGAGGGAGGCCATGCCCCCCTCGGCGACCGTGTGGTACTCGGCCTGGAGTGGGTAGCCCGTGCCAGGTCACTTGAGCGGTCCGATCGGGTACGTCGTCATAGTGCGGGCACACCATCGCAGGGCCACACCCGGCAGACGCCAGACGGAAGCACACACAAATACACTATATGGCTCGAGATTAGCCAACAGTTGGTGTCTTACTGACTTGCCTCATACTGACTCTGCAGGCCCGCAAATACGGTAAATAGACGAATAATTAAGCTATCAACCGAGCAAAAACTCAGTCGATGGCTCTATATTCTTCGAAGAGCACATGGGTCCCAACGCGATCATACGCGACCAGAAAGTGGGATGCATCCACCTGTTCGCCAGAACTGCGGATTCCCGACCCGCTGTCTGCCAGGCGCCCTCCACTCGGCCTGTCGCCCATCACCTCAGAGCCAGCCAGCCAGCCAGTCAGCCAGCCAGCCAGCCAGCCAGCCAGCCAGCCAGCCCAGCCAGCCAGCCAGCCAGCCAGCCAGCCAGCCAGCCAGCCAGCCAGCCAGCCAGCCAGCCAGCCAGCCAGCCAGCCAGCCGTCGCCCACACACCTGCCGCTGCGAGGCGAACATGTTGAAGGAGTCGACGATCTGTCCGGCGCTGGAGCAGTCGTACACGTAGATGGAGGGCGCGCCCATCCACGTCTGCAGCTCGTAGATGGAGAGGGGAATGTACTGCGAGTAGGTCTGCCGGACACCGGTGACAGACGGGTCTCACACGGTGCACCCTTACCCTACCCCACCGTATCCACTGCGAGTAGGTCTGCCGGACACCGGTGACAGACGGGCCTCACACGGTGTACCCTTACCCTACCGTATCCACTGCGAGTAGGTCTGCCGGACACCGGTGACAGACGGGCCTCACACGGTGTACCCTTACCCCTACCGTATCCACTGCGAGTAGGTCTGCCGGACACCGTTGACAGACGGGCCTCGCACGGTGCACCCTTACCCCTACCCTACCGTATCCACCGTATCAAACACAACTCACAAAGCCAACATGGCGCAAGAAATAGCATTTACTGACTGTTTCTTTTCTAGCCTCTTTTTGCAAGTAGACTATGATTACTAGTTGCTCGAGATTATGTAGAAACAAAAATAGGGCAACGTCGACATCTAGCTCCTTAATAACGACCTTCGTTGAGCCTTTAGCTCCGATAACTCCAAGCATTTCACCGTACAATGCAGCTGAACCACGGTTATATCATCACAATTGCTGACTCGTTGTCCACATAAATAGTTGTGGTTCTCACCACTTCGTCGGATATGCATAGAAATTCGTCACCACCAGATGTGGTAAAGCCTCACCAAGCGGGAGGGTCTACTTTGCATGCCACGCGACGGCTGGTGGGCATTTCTCGCTATTTGGCATACACCTGACGCTACGGCCAGAGCAATCAGTAGACAGCTCGATGTTAAAGAAATAACCTTTAATAATAATAAACAACTAAATAAAAAATACCTAAATAACCGGTTGACCTCTTCCTGTCAACCAGAAGCCTCCCAAATCTGCCCAACTTCATTACTTGGGGATAAAAAGTAGGGTACTTGCGGTTCTCTGAAGCTGCAAACGGCATTTCGGGGGGAACTAAACACAACACTTTTTGAGATAAGATGACAAAAGGTTTGAACTCCGTGTGGACCCAGTGGAAGGCGAGCGGGTGGTAGTGGTACCACCAGTGTGACAGCGATTTGATAGCCTTATGGGTCACGACAAAGCGCAAACGACAATACTTCAGTTGTCCTGAATTTGTTGGGGCTGAACACCTGGTTTTTTACTTTCGAGTTTACTGCTCATACGAGGAAAAGTGAAGACAGAAAACCGCAAGTGAGTCCAACCGCTTAACCCCCAGCAGGTGCACTCACCCGATTGAAAACCCAAATCTCGCCGTTCTGGGTGGGTCGCGGCACGCCATGGCCGTTGTAGTGGAAGAGGATGCGCTCCTCCTTGGCGTTGCGCCGCAGCGACGTGCACAGCTTCTTCACGGCTTCGGTGGTCGGGTCCAGAGCATGTTTGTACCTGCGGCGGAGCAACACAGCCTGTACTGGCAAGCTGCACTGGCAAACTCGCTCAGGCCACCGGCAGAGCCTTCAACGCGCGCCCGACCGTAGATCCTGGACCGTACAGGATCTTCGACACACCAACCTGGAGGCCGGAATAACATTTCCCCAACATTTACCACGAATTCCAGTTCTACGGAGTCCATTAGACGGAACATCTGAATACTAATCCAAGACGAATGATAAAAAACACAGACACAGTCCAAGCCCTTACACGTGGCGCCAGTGAATACGGTGATCACTACAGCGCCCAGTGGCAATGGCGCCAACCAGAGTCCACTCTGACCCCCCCCCCCCCCCCATGTTGCTGATGCAATCTGCCCGGCTATCGCAGCCCGACCCTCGGCGGCAAGAAATCTTCAGAAACAGTGCATTAAAAGGCCCTAAATGCTGGAGATTCTTCAGAAAGCTGAAGAAGTACCAGACTGTACAAATGTTGATCGTGGCGATCCAGCCACACACCTCCGGTTCTCCGGTTACTCACAAACTTTCGCTTCAATTGCGACATCCAAAACACGGGACAGATCAGGTTCAACCTGTCACTGAGCATGCTTAGCCACCCAACCCATCTAAACTTTGTTTGTGAGGACTGGGTAGTCACCAAGGAGAAATTCTTCAGGGTCTGGTGCAGGATAGGAGGCATGGCAGCGCTACCACAGTCAGAGCACCTCTTGTAACTTGGGCGCCAAGTTTTACGAGGGGCAATCCAACCTAGCATCATTTTTTTGGCGAGTCCCTGCACAAATTTTGCCAAAATAGATCCTGAAAGATCTTGTTACAAAACTTGAAAATAGAGCCTTGATCCTCAAATGCCCTTTGCCAAGCTCGGCACGTAGCTTTTATTCTGGCAGATCCTTGCGCAATACTAAAATGAATTTGCGGTCGTGCGACACTTCGGCAAAAGCTAAAATTGGCCATCCACATCCCGGAAACCATTTACGATATCTATGCACATATCTGGGTATTCATGCTGCTTGTTCAGTGCTTGGCCGTGTCATGGGCGACAATAAGCAAACGTTCCCCACCACAACAAAGGCGCACATCACTCGCATCAGACCTCTGGCGAAAACTCCGACGCGGTTCCGAAAGAACGACTATTGCGCATTCTAAACGTCCAGCTATATACAGTATACTCGGAGACCCTCCTGTTAGTCGCCTGAGTATCTTCCCAGTCCGTGCTACTCCGGTGACCCGGCCGCACGGCAACACCACTGCGGTAGTCACCACGCCTTTGGCTGCCGGCGCTAGCCGTCCGTCAGAGGGCGGCACCCACCTGGCCTTGGGCTGCCAGCGCTGGTACTGCTGCTGCAGGTTAGCGGCGATCAGCTCCAGCGCTTTGGTCGTCGTACGCGGGTCTGCCGGCCAACAAACAAACAAGTCACCGTCCGCCCGCCGACAAACACACAAGTCAACGTCCGCCGGCCGACAAACAAACAAGTCACCGTCCGCCTGCCGACAAACACACAAGTCAACGTCCGCCGGCCGACAAACACACAAGTCAACGTCTTGCCGGGTGACAAACACACAAGCCAACGTCCGCCGGGTGACAGACGCTTAATTCAGCACTCACGCACACACAAAAATAGGCTGAAGGTACTTTACATGCGTGTAAAGTTAATCAGACTCGCACATGCCTACCCCCAAACGATCGTGACAGCGGTGTATGATGGGCACTTAGCATGTTCCATAAACAGCAGCCAGCGCAAATTATGCCGGCTTTAACTTAAGCTGTGTAAGTGTGCAGAGCAGTGCAGATGCTGCTTATTTGCAATGGTTTGTTCCACTTAAAGGAAATATTCCACAGCTGCAGATATTGAAGCAAGCATCCGACATGATTAAATAAACTAACTCAAAAACGTTAGCATACTTTTAAGTGGAAAAGATTGCTCTAGACAACACAATTTCTCTGTTTCACAAATGCGCTCTTCGATACGTCGTTGCTTGATTACGTCATCACACCTTGCGCACCATTGATTGGGAGCTAACTGGCGGCCGCTATCTCTGGAAATCGTGCCGGAACGCCAGATATGAACGACTCAACCATTCTGTTTTTGGCCTTGATCGTCGCATCGCTAAAATGAAATGGCGAAGATTTGGATGACGTTATCATCCCGTAAGGATGCCTGGGTGACCTTGAAATGGTCTCCCCTAACAGTCCGCATGTCTTCGCCAGCGTGCAGCTTAGAAACTAGATGGGTTTAGGCTTTATGAGGGGCAGAGCTGTGAACTGCATCGCATGATCTTTCAGACGGCTATTGCAGCTCAAACGTCCATACAAATGTGGAACACTCCCTTTAATGAAAGCTTACAGAATATGGATATACAGGCATATGGATGACGACCCAAACGTTGAGAAACCCCTATCTTTTTCGGGTCCATACCATTACACAGTGCAATTTCAAACCGGCGGAAGTTGAACATTCATTTTACGAAACTAACCACAGCCTAGGGATTGCTTCAGAACAATACCACGACCGCCAACATTCCCAATATGCGCAACCGTTTGTGTTTATACGATTATCCGGCTAATAAGCAAGGTCAAAGGTCACATTCGGACTGGTTCGGGGTTTCGTCGCCCTTCCGCTTCTACCGGCGTGGGACACTGAGAACCCTCACGACCAAAGGCACTGTCTGAACCATAGAATGATACACAAGCCGCTCACCACACGTGCTACGCTGGTGTGCTACTGCATCTGAGTTGCAGGACGGGACTGAGGCGACAGACAATCAGTACGTGCGCTACGAGGTGGGTGTGCGCCGTGTCGGCGGCGACACAGCGGAGGCAGGCCGGACCCGGCGGCCGGCGCGGCTACTGACCGACCCAGGTCTCCAGGCGCGCGCACGGGCTCGTCTTGAGCACGTCGGGCGGGTCCACGTCGATGTTGAGGCACAGCACCAGCGCCACGCTCACAGTCTTCATCTGCCAACACAGCGCGCCAGTTCAGAGCCCCGAGGGCCCACTCAGAGACCCGACGGCCCAGTCAGAGGCCCGAAGGCCCACTCAGAGGCCCTAGGGCCCACTCAGAGGCCCGATGGCCCACTCAGAGGCCCGATGGCTCATTCAGAGGCCCGAAAGCCCGGTCAGAGGCCCGAGGGCCCACTCAGAGGCCCGAAGGCCCACCAGAGGCCCGAGGGCCAGTCAGAGGCCCGACGGCGGCCTACTCGGAGGCCCGCCCTGGAGCGACACGCAGCCGACCTGCCGACCGTCAGCAGCCGGCCGGCCGTTAGCGCACCTAGCGCACGAGACGACCACGCCGCTCTCGCGGGTCCAGAATCACCACAGTCAACCTACATACAGATATCGTAGGGTTTTTGTTGGCTTTGCGACGCACTTCAGCCGCTGATGCTATAAGACGCCACCTGACTCTCGTCCTGGTAGGATGGGCGGAAGCCGCGGAAAATACAAAATATTGTAGGGTATCGGCAAAAACACCAGCATTTTATGCTCAACTAATCCAACAGTGCACCGGCCAGCATGCATCCATCTGAGCCGGCTTCAGTGGAAAATGGCAGATTTCGTGGTGCATGCTTGGTTTCAGGCTTCCTTTCGTATGTCCCGGCTGGATGAGCGTTTGAGGACTTCAGGACCCTAGGAGCGTAACTTCGGATTGCACGTATCGCTACCATATCAAGGGGCCCGAAAAACATAGGCGTCTTGAAAACAAACGGCCATCGCTACCATATCAAGGGGCCCGAAAACATAAGCGTCTTGAAAACAAGCAGCCGATAGGCCCTGTAGCTAAGATGTTGTCGGCCCCAGGGCATCACGAGCCAAACAGAGCCTACCATCATCCGGTATCAGTTCAAACCACCGTGAGGTGTGGAGGTGGGGGGGGGGGGGGGGGAGGCGGAGCCAAGGGGAGAAGGGTACTAAGTCGCGCAATACACGCTGGGGATGTTTATATGCTGATGTTTAGTTCTGCCTGCACATCAACATATTCCAGCGTAGCGCCGACTAATCCATCTTTCGTCACCGTGCGTCAACGCAACAAACTCGGTGCGAACGGGCGGGAAATCACGCCAGGGGTCCCCGAGGGAGCGCAAAGAAACGGCCGTCATTCCACAACTGCGGATTGCATAGTGCTGGGTAGCAGCTGCTAGAATGCGGCTCCAAAGTCTTTACGTCACGGTTTTCGTCGCCACAACCGACAGGGATGGCAAAAAACGTTGAATTGCGACATAATGAGTACAAATATCCCTCAAAAGTGAGGCCATAACGGAGCATCGGTCCTTAGCGTCACAGCCTCCTCTATTGGTTGTGCCGATGGCGAGGCCAATTACATAAATAGTTTTGTACACGATTCTCCCAACCCTCCAATCCTCTTTCTCGCTTCATCCTGCGTCCCAGCGGCGCCCCGCTTGTCCGAGGCAGGCTGCATACGTCAGTCACGAGTGGCCCGAGAGGCCCCTGGGGAGGGACCCCGACCGGGCGCCCAGCGCATGCCCCACGGAAGGGTCCCTGCGTGGGCTAAGACTCGGCGTTTGACTCCCCAGGCGCCTGCAGTCCTCCCCCACCGTTATTCATTCGCATTCATCTGATAGCCCTGAAATGATCATTTCTGGTCGAAAGGGCTCTAATCCAAATAACGAAATAACAAAAAATTAGGCAATTGATATACCATCATATAACACTGCCACATTGGCCAGTGTTGGTACACAAGTGATGACCATGACATACCGCTACATTAACCAGCTTTAATTTCTGCATGGTCAATGCGGTTGGCTACAGGTTCAAACAATGCCCATCATCATAACGACAATCCTAACCGTCCTGGGCATGCTGTGGGCAGCCACAACACGTCCACGCCATGGCACATACCCGCTCCTTCATCCTCCAGCACTCCTTCTGCACCAGCTGTCCCCTCGATCTTGCCCAGGTGGCGGCCCTGGCGGAAGAAGACCGGAATCTTCCAGTCGAGCTCGTCCGGCTGCTGGTCCGGCCCGGTCGACTCCACCGAGCGGCGGCCGCTGGCGCTGCGCGACGCCGAGCCCGGCGGCCGCGAGAACATGCTCCACGACATGGCGGACGCCTCCAGTTCCGCAGAGCAGCACTTCAGCTGGCGCAATCACGGCACATCAAGGCGGATAGTGCCACTCCTGTGCTGCTGCAGGCTCTGTGGACAGCAAACATGGACGTATTTTCACAAGCACGCACGCAGCCAGAGCATTGGTAAGGAGGGGCGGAGGGTTCACAAAGGGCCCCTGATGGTAAAAGGCAACCCCCCCCCCCCCCCGAAAACAGAATCGCTGGATATGGCCCGTTTGTTAATGAGGGCATCTTTTTTTGGTACCCTTCATTTTTACCTTCTATGAGTGGAATAGAAGCCAAAAGCTCCAGCGGGATCAATTCTGTCAGAATTTTATAGTCCACATACTGAAGAAATATGTGTTAAGCGACGGCATGAAATAAATCACCGGTGCCTCTTCATGTTACAATGGTCCTGTGGACTCTGTCTAGTTTTTGAACTACATGTCCTCAAAAATGGGCAAAGGAATATCGACGAGAATATTTCAAAGCCACCGTGGCATTCATGTCATCATAACGTCATTTAAATCTTGTCATTCCACACGCCACGCGGCGATCTACGCAAAAAAAATATTGTCGAGGCTTTCATATCTGGCGTTCGTAAGCGCAATTTCCAGGCACAACGCCTACTCAATTGGCTCTCAATCAATGTTATGCAAGGTACGGTGGCGTAATCCAATCATCACGTATTGGGGGAGCGTGCTTGCTAAAGAGAATTGTGCTGTCTACAGCAGTCTTTTCCACTTAAAAAGTATACCAATCGTTACAAGTGAGCTTGTTTCAACATCTTCGACGCTTGTCCCAGTATCTTCAAATGTGAAACATTCCCTTTAAGGAACCCACGAATGCAGCTCGAAAGGGGTCAATAATCGATTTGTACTGACATGACCAAGCCACGTTTGTCTAGAGATATTCAAAAGTTCAGTCAGAATTGATGACCCATGTAAATTATGTGACGCAGTTTTGAGCATGCGCACTCGCAAATCCTAACAACAAAACCTCATGCCAGGCGTCACAGTCTTCATAGCCCGCGCGGTGCCTAGCAGCCCCACGGCTGACAATGAGCCGTGGCCAACGGGTGGACGAAAATGCTGACGCTTTTGAAAGAAGCATCTTTGAACGCTTTAGAACATCAAATCGCGCATTTAGAAGGGAGTCTGGGTATATGCTTCACCTATACGGTTGCAACATTTATGATAAGAACGGCTAAGCATTTACACGAAGAAGTGCCGGGATCTGGTGGTGGAACTGGAAAAGTAAACGTAGAATCGCTGTTTATCGTATTGCAGCAAAAGCTAATTTATCTCGTAGACGGTCCCAAAGATGTAAAAAGACGCGCCCAGTCTCATCTTTGAACGGTACGAATTACCTTTAAGAGTCGGACCAGAATTTTGACGGTCGTTCTCGCGCGCTCGGCACCCGCCGCCTGGTGCTGCTTGCAGTGGTCAGCGCCGTTCGGTTTACGGAAACTGCAACCCAGGCCATCGCTGTCCTTGCTCCCGATTACGGGAGCACAAACTCAAACATTTTGATGTGATCTGTTTCACTGGTTGATTCAGCAAAACAATAAAAGTTCCCGAACATGGGATGGCCTTGTTCGTTTTTGAACCTATTTAGATCCACTCTATTCAATACTGATGGGATCCTACATCTCCTTCCAGGCAATGGTCTCTTGAGTAGAACACTAGGGAGCCCATACTGACCCCTGTCAGGGGCTGAAGTGCCATTCTTCCAACCGCGGGGTGGCTTCCAGCTACCACTCTGGCGACACCGGGCGGGATCCCCTAGCCGGTCTAGAGGCCCTTAGAGGGATGCATCATATCACATTGTAGACCTCCTCAAAGCCCGTAACTGACTAGGGGCCGCTACCCGACACCTGATCCCCTGTTATGCACTGTGAACCCTGACCGACCCTGGGACCCAACCACTGTTTTCAGGACGAGGACCAATTAAATTGTGTCCCGTGGCCTTGCTCCTGCTTGGGAAATGGGACACCAGGGCTCAGACTGACTGGGAGCCAACTGCTTGGTGTCTGAGGTCTTCGGAGGACTCGAACATCCGCATTGTCTCAGGGGGGTCATCACCTTGATTTGACCCCCCGCCACTCCTTCTGGCTCTTATGCCCGCCAACCAGACCTTTGATAGTCAAATCCATTGGGCTGCCAGACACCTCTTCAGGACTCATCAAACACCGCTGTTGGTCAGCTTGGGGCCCTTTGTGAGCACAGAACCCTCTGTTGAGTGCTTTAGGCCCCTGACAGATGCAAGGGGCCTGACCAGTGTAAATCACTGGCTCTGGCTTTGTAGCTGTTTGGGAAGTGAGTCTCCAGACCTGTACTGGCATGCAGATGACTGAATGGTACTGGCGGTGCCTGATCAACATATGAGCCCACATCAACTCAAGGGTCCTCTATTATTTGAAGGCCTGTCCTTACAGGCTGGGGCCCCTGAATAATGCTCAATCCAGCTTTTAGTGCCCTTAAATCCTCTAATTCAGCCCTTGACTGTAAGACTGCAGGCCCGCCAGGCTCTTCAGCTCTCCCTGAACACTGCCTTAGGCTCACTCAGGCCCCTTGCCAACACAGGGCCCTTTTCCAATTGCTGGCCCTGGTTTTGCCCCTGCTTGGGAAATGGGCCCTCAGGCCATCGCCTCCAGGAGCACACTGTGCATTACTGGTGGTGTCTTACTAACAATAGATCTTTGATGGCTCAGTTGGTTCTTAATCATCACATAGGGCCCCTGGCTGGCAGAGGAGTGCCTGGCCCTGTGAGCTGAGGCTGCTGAAAACAATCTCCAACCAGCCTTTTGGGCACTTAATCATAAGGAACCTATGGGAGGAGTATGCATCCTCTGTGCTTTCTCTGCCTGTGGTTCTGTTCATAACCAATGCTAGCACAACCCTGCTTTATTAGCACCCCTTGGGTTAGACAAAATATTGAAAAAGGCCTGTAGTCCTGTGCATATCCACACTGTATAGAACCCACTTATTGCAACCTATCCAGTGCCTCTATAAACCACATACCATCACCTTCCCTGCACTGAAGCATCTTCTAGGAAATGACCAAATGCCACCTTTCCTGCCAGGGTGACAGGCAGGTGACATTATATAGCCTGAGCAGCTGAGTGGGTGTTGAAACCCCGATGATAACGGTACTAGGTAATGTCTAATCACCATCATCCCTTCATATGTTCATGTCTCATTGAGCAGTGTCTTCATAAGCCAACAGCTAGCATTCCACTTTGCTGTAGGCTAACTGCCACAATGAAATTGGCCTTAAGCAAGATGATATTCTAGTTGCAATATAGGAGGATAGGGTTGAGAAAGGGAAGGTTAAGGGTAAAACACAACACACAACTTTATGATTTTATGCAATTTGCACTGTACGCATAGCCATGGACCATGTTCTACATTTATCAGGCACATTTTATTTGCCAATTTTCCTTTTCATGTTAAAATCATCTTGACAGCATGGTATTTAGTAACATCAAAGCATTACAAAATACAAAAAGGGGCAATCGTGATATTTTTGTTGGGATAACAACATGCAACAAAATATGCCTGTTCAACCAAGGTAATCACTCAAACCTTTTCTATCATCCCCAAACTTTAAAAATAATTGCCAGAGCCATAGGCTTTCCAGTTCTAATACACACTGAACTTCATAAAACAACAATAATGACTATGGAAATACGGACTGCACAGCAAATAGCCGTAACTTACATACATACCTTAATGTAATAAACTGCTATAGCAACGAACGCTCAGTGGTCACCAGTTTTCAATGATCATCCCCTGGGTGACCCTACCACGAGTAGGACCCTCTTCAAGCGTGCAGGTCAGCTCCAAAGAACATCGTACCCGAAGTCGATTAACCACCGTCAGCTGATTTGTTCCAAATAATAACAAGCGTGTTTAATATGACGTCATTAACACCAAATCAATCAGACAACAAAAAACAGATGATGGGAACGATCAACAAATAGCTAACTTCTGACTATCAATACTCAAGTAACGCTATCCTTATCGTTATTACAATGTCGTGAAGTGAATTGTGTAATACTATGACGATTGCAGAGGCGGTCCCGCCAGGGGAAGGGACAGGTGGGGAAGAGGGGAAACGCGTCCCCCATTCCCCTTAGGCCAATAGGGACTGACTATCAATGGCCTGATTTGGGGGACCGAAAGGCTGGCCGGGGGTCGTATTAGGAGTTTTGCCCCTGTGGGCCGGGCCCTAAAATGCCAGTCATAAGGCCCTCTGTGCTGACTGGGGCTCCTTAGCTGATGAGGGCCTCTATGTCGGTCACGTACCACGAGCACCGAACAGTCAGCTCTGTGTCAGTCTAAGCCTGACGGCCCATTTCCCAAGCATGGACAAGGAGCTGGGGCCCGCGATTTGTTTTGGTCGGGCCTCTGAGTCAATGCGGGACTCTCCGTCTTGGCCGGGCCAACAGTGCCTAGCAGGGGGTTTCGTGCTGGCAAGGAGCCCCGAGTCGATCAGGGGCAGTGCTCTAGGGGGCGGGAAGAGGGGCCTGATGCAAACTCCCGGACCAACGATCAAGGACCAGATTGGAAGACTGAAGAAGCAAGGGGCCCGAAGGGCTAGTTGTAGATCACATTAAGAATCCCTGACCATACAACCGTGACTTAAAACGACAAAGGTTCAACGTCTTGCTTGAAGGGAGACCCTTGGGACAATGCAGGTCCCTCTTTCGGCCAGAGTCCACCGACACCGAGCAGGCGGATCCATCTCAGTCTCAGCCGCGGCGTATATTTCCCTAGCAGGGACGGGGCTGGGGCCCGCACTTTGCATTGGTCAGGGCCTAGAAACAATGGGGGGCCTTGTGTCAATCAGGACCCACAAAGCCTTACAGGGATCTGTGTCGGCAAGGGGTCTCGAGTCTCCCAGGGGAACATTGTCTGAACACGGACGCGGACCGTACGCCGAATGTCAGGAGCCTCTTGCGTCGGCCGGGGCCCTCTGACATTGAAAAGAGATATGAGAGCTTACGATGAGAGTCAACAATGGAACAACGAAAGGGGCTTGTATCTGTAAGGACCTTTGTACGGAAGGAGAGCCCTTCGCCCCATTTCAGCTAAGGGCGTACAGAGTCGAACTGGAATCTTTACCATCTAGTGGGCAAGCTGAGGCAATAAGGGATACTGCTACATTAGTGAGGGCTCCTACTTTGATCTGCGGCCAACTTCCCTGGTAAGAGGGCCTATCGCACCAGGGAGGGGACCATGCATAATGCATTTCTCTAAAGACCTCCGGATCGACCAGGGGACTCCATCCTTGTGTCACCATGTTGGCATTCGGAAGGCATTACCGTGCTAAGAAGGTTAAGTTAGCGACGTTTTGGTATTCGAATTCAGCGTCAATACCGATTACGCCTCACGCAGGTGATTCGGTCAAACGCAACCAGCTGATAACGAAAATCAGATCCCGGCGCAAAATGACTCGGAAGTCGGCGCGCCCTAAAATACCAATCATCATCACGAAAATCAGGTCCATTCTTCCCTAACTCGACCACATTGACCTCCCGAGGCCAACTATCCAAGTGAGCGTGCCGTGCGGCCACTGTATGACTTGTAGCCAGTTATCGGTTCCAGCCCCATATGTCAAAACGTCAAACGTTTTACTCCATTGAAGTAGCGCGGGTGGAGGGGGGGGGGGGGCACAGGAGCACCACCTGACCCCCTTAGGTTCCGAGGGGCCCGAAGGGCCCTTCAGAACTTAAGATTAAGGGCCCAATTTAAGGGCCCGAAAGGTCGACTGGAGGTCATATTGAGGAGCCCGGCCTGCAGAGCCGGGACTTCAATGCCATCTGGAGGGCATTATGCGCTGATCAGGGGCCCCCTAAGTCGATAAGTGCCAATATGTTGGTCAGACACCACCAATAACGCACAGTCAGCTCCGTGTCGGTATGGGCCTGAGGGCCCGCTTACCAATGGGTCTGAGGGCCTGCTTACCAATCAGCCACAGGGCCGGAGCCAACGGTTTACATTGGTCGGGACGATTGTATCCGTCAGGGGTACGCAGTGCCTTACAGGAGGTCCGTGTTGGCAGGAGACCCCGAGCCGACCAGGGGCAGTGTTCCATGAGGCCCAAAGAGGGGCTCAGCGACCCAGCAGATCCGATGATCAAGGGCTCGTTTGAAGGGCACAAGAGCCCAAAGGGCCGAGTAACATAAAGAATCGCAGCCCGTGGGGTCGTGGCCCGAAATATTAGTCATAGGTTCTCTTGCACCGTTTGAGGATCCCTGTAACAATGCCGTTGTCTCGTGCCGCCAGAGACCACGAACACCGAACAATTCACCACTGTCAGTCTGAACCCTGGGGGCCCATTTCCCAAGCAGGAGCAGGGCTGGGGGCCACGACTTGCATTGGTTTGGGTTCATGGAGCAATGGTTGGAGCCGCTGTGTCGGTCCGGCGCCCACAGTGCCAAACAGGGGGTCATCTGTCACCTAGTGTCCCCGAGTCGGTCGAGGGTTTTGTTTGAGGAGGTCCAAGGAGAGGCCCAAGGGCCCCTCGAAACCGAAGATCAAGGGCCCGATTGACAGGCTGAAGGGGATCAAGGGCCTAAAGGGCCGACTGCAGGTCATATCATGGCCCCCCGCCCGTAGGGCCGTGATCTCAAATACCAGTTAGACGGTCTCTTGTACCGATTGGGAGTCCTGAGACAGACCGTTCGTCCATTTGGGCCAGAGATCACGAACACCGAACACTCGACTCCGTATCAGTCTGAGCTCTTGAGGCTCATTTCCCAAACAGGGCCAAGACCGAGCCCGTGATTTACATTAGTCGGGGTCACTGCAACAATGCCGGGCGCCTGTATCTGTCGTAGGTGCACAGCGCCCAACAGGGCGTTTTGTGTCAAAACAAGGGGCCTCGGATCAGTCAGGGAAACATTTGCTCAACAGAGATAGGGACGGGACCCCCAATAACAGAGGACCTCTTGCGTTGGTTGGGGCCCTCTGACGATGAAAGGAAACATTATGACCTATGATGAGTGTTCACATCGATACAATGAAAGGTTCCTGTCCCAGTCAGGGCTCACAATACCGAATGGAAGGCCTTCCAACCCAATTCCAGCATGAGCCCGTTCAGCCGAACCGGATTCTAGGCACCAAGTATTGGATCAGCTGCGGCGATCAGGGATGTTGTTGCGCCAATAAGGGTTCCTGCATCGATTCGGGGTGAAATGTGCGGTCAGGATGCGCCCCATGTCAGTAAGGGACCAGCGTGATATGGTGTACTCCTCTTTAAGACCTCCGGATCGACAAGACGATCCCGCCTCGTGTCGCCAGAATGACAATCAGAAGACACCCTGCGGTGGAACGAAATGGCCCTTCAGCTCCGAACGGGAATAACGATGTGCTTCCAAGTGTTCTACTGAAGAGATCCCCGAAAGAAACAAGGTGTCTCATTAGAGCTGAAGAGAGTGGGTCGAAGTGAGTTAAAAACGGGTAAAGCCATTCAATTTTTCCTGAGGACGTTCATTCTTTTGCACGATCGATTGGTAAAACAAATCACATCAAAAGCTTTGAGCCTGCGCGCCTGAAATATCGGGAGCAAGGACAGCGGCGGTCTAGGTTAAAGATTCCATAAAACCGAACGGTTTCGGCCGCTGCAAGCAGCACCAAGCGGCGGGGGCCGCGTGCGCGAGAACGACCGTCGAAATTATTGGTTCCGACTCTTACAGGTAATTCGTATCGTTCAAAGATGAGACTCCACGTCGGCAGTACTCGTCCACTGTTGAGACCAGGCACATGGACGCTCGGAGGAACTTGGAGCGCCCCCGGGGGGTGATGAACGTTGCGAGATGTTGGCTGCTGGTGGTGTTGGCTGCGAGGCTGCTTTCTTGAAGAGGGAGCTGCCAGTATCCTGAATTGGCATCCAGCGTGGAGAAGATCTTCGCGCTCACTGGCATACCAGAGACGGCCTCTCTCGGAGAGTGGATGCAGAGTCCTTTTTACAAACTTGTTGAGCTTGGTGAGGTCAACGGATATCCGCACTCCTCCATCAGACTTTGTGACCAGCACCAGTGGATGACACCAATCTGATGGCTCGTCACCCAAGGGGCGATGATGCCCTGTCGAACCATTTCTTCCAGCTGGCTCCCCACGTCGCCTCTCCATGCGTACGGCACAGGGCGGGCAGCGCGTACTGCGAAGGGTTTGGCATCTTCTGTGACATGAATGGCCATTGGTGGGCCTGCCATTGGCTTAAGAGATGCATTGCTGTCATCAGATGTGAAGACGTCGGCGAACTCCTTGAGAATGTCACTGCTTAATTGTTTGCGCTGTTGCTGTTGGCCGGTGTCCTTCGCTGAGCGTATTAACGGCACGCAGTGACTGCTTGCGCTTCGAGTCTGGAAGTCATCAGCGGGCTGTGGGTAGTGGTCTGGGAAAATGCCGAGTTTCTGGGCAGTATACCAGGCCAGAAGAAGTCCCCGTGACTCAATGAAGACGTAGACTGTGTCTTCGACCGCAATCTCGTTGAGGCGACTGATGGCCCTGAAGGTGCCAATGTAGTGCATGGACTGTCCATTGGCAGCTGTGACGTCGGTGCTTGGCGGCTTGGTCAGGGCACTGTCCTGTGCACCCAGGGTGTGTGCAGTGTCTGAGCTCATCATTGTGACCACGGCCCCCGAGTCTGGGGTTGCGTTGATGCTGCCAAAGAACGTCCCGCTGGGATCTTCCAGCTTGATGGCAATCTTGGGGGCCTGTAGACTGCGATGTAGACTGCTGACGAAGACTTGGGTAACAGCTGTCTGGTGTGACGGGTAACGCTGTCTGCGGCGTGATCGCCGTGATGCGTCAG